TCTTCCACTCAGTTCGGTCCATCACACTAAGTAATATCATGGGTGATATAAACACTGAACAGAAATTTCCTGTTTCATTCTACGAATTCCAACCCTTTGAATTGACGGAGAAAATTTGTCCTGTGATAATAATCTACATTAAAGTATACACTGATTATGCGATCTAGGAAGACCATAAAATCTCAGAGAAACTTGTGACTTCAACTTTATGGATGTCCACGCTCCACACGAAACTCATGACTACCAATTTTTCTTTTTCAAATAATCTCCTTAAATGTACTAGATGAGTTTGACTATAGACGTCTGCTACTTGTCAAAATGCGATTTCTTCTAGTTCCGAAAAGAATGATTCAACAAATGGCGATTTACAGGTTTTTGAAGAAAGATCACTACATTTTAATAGTTTCAGCTTCCGTAGAAAAACATTAATTCAGTTTACTTCACAGTTTTCTTCTGATAGAAAGCAACTGGAATTATAACAAAATACATAAGTAATCAGTGTGGTGTAGTTTAGGCCTGCTATAGCTCAAAAGCCAATGTGTCGGTGGCATAGCGGTTAAGGACACTCACCGACCATGCACATGGGCCGGGGTTCGATCCCCGGCCGTCGAACTCCTTTACCTCGCTAAGCCAGAAATAATCCTGGTAAAGAGGAAAGGCTGGGGATGAGGCTAGCAACCCCATCCTGTAAAATAAACACTGCTATAGAAACTTCAAGCCTTTAGCTTGAGGCTCAATGTTCCACTGGGAATGCGAAGGAAAAAAATAGTTTATTTCATAGTCATTGAAGAGAATGCCGAATAAATGATAAAAATACTTTAACATTTGGTGTGCAATGCAGACTCATATGCCTATGGTTATGCAAAAATCTGAATAGTTATTGAAGTGAAAGGAAAGAGGTCACTGATATCGAAGAAGTCTTCGATATCATCTAAGGAATAGAGCAACTCAGTGTATCCAACAAAAGTGCATAATATCGGTTTGCCACTTCGACCAGTGTTAGACATGTGTAATTCCCCATATCACGCAACAGCGAAATGGTTAGTGAAGCTCCTAAAGCCTCTGCATAAGGAAGTGGTAAAACACAGCGTAAACGGCAGTTTTGAATTTGTGGAAAAAATAAGAGATCTTAATGTGAGGGACAAGTTTATGATATCTTTTGATGTATCCTCCTTGTTCACCAATGTACCGTTAATAGAAACAGTGGATTTTATATGTGAAGAGATTACTACACGAAATATAGATATCGGGATTTCCGTAACCACCTTGAAGGAACTTATTTTAGGATGTACAATGAATGTTCATTTCTTATTCAATAAGGAATATTACAGACAAATTGATGGTGTAGCTATGGGTTCCCCATTAGGTCCAATCCTAGCTGATTTTTTCCTCGCTAAATTAGAGAATGGACCACTGAAAGGAGTAATTAATGACATGGATTTCTACTGTCTATATATGGATGATACATTTGTGGTTATGAAAGATGAGAATGATGCAATGAACATCCTTGACAAGTTTAATGATGCACATTCAGCAATAAACTTTACCATAGAGAAAGAAAGTAATGACAGTATCTCATTCCTAGACGTCTTCATGGTAGGGAGAGAAGATGGCACACTAAGAAGAAGTATGTATAGGAAGCCTACAACAACAGGTCAGTACACTCATTTTTTGAGTTTTGTACCTTCGAAATATAAACGTAACCTCGTGAAGTGTCTGGCTCATAGAGCTAGGTTAATCTGTTCAGACGACTGCCTCAATGAGGAGCTTAAGATTATTAGAGAATTACTTAGAAAAATGGCTATCCCGATAAATTCATTGAGAAAAATATAAATTCAGCTCCAAGGAGAGTCAGTATGGCCACAGTCCCGAAAAAACCTGTGTTCATAAAACTTCAGTTCCTCGGTGACAACATCAGCGAGTTAATAACACAGTGCCTGAAGAATGCAGTTAAAAGAACTTATTATGCAGCAGAGGTACGTTGTCTCTTTACAACCACACCTATTTTATGTTCGAGAAATAAGGATAAACTACCTAAATTCGCCTCCTCTGTGTGTATCTACCAGTTTGACTGAAGCTGCGAAGCCAGCTACATTGGGCGTACAATTAGGCAAGTTCATCGTCGTATTTCCGAACATCATCCAACGTGGTTAAGTAAGGGACAAAAAAGATCTATTCGGAGTTCTATTTTAGCCCACCTCGTTGACACTGAGCATAAGATTGATGTTAATACAGCATTTAAAATTATTTATCACATTCCAACTTATCTTAATTTTGCTCTGCGAGTTCGTCTTCTACAGACGGCTGAGGCGATTGGCATTCATCTGAAGAAACCAAGCCAATGTGTACAGAAAAAATTTGTACAGCCACTTTCCCTACCGTGGCCATCGTCACAAGAATGCCTAAACAGGACTACGTCGCCCCCCTCCCCCTAAACCTCTAAAATTATATTTGTCTAAATTATTTATTTTATTTTATTTATTTTGACCACTTCATCTTTAATTACGTGTTATTCTTGTAAAATTAACTTATTCTATCCATTTCCACCTTTTAAATCTGTATTGATTTTCTTCGTTAACTATTAACCCATTGACACTGTTTAATTATTGTTAACAAACTTATCGCCACTTGATTGGCAAACTGTTATATTGTAATTAAAATGCTATATATATTAGAGTAGAGCCAAAGATGAGGATCTAATTGAAAAGTAAATATTTCTTCGCTCAATCTTTCTGTTTTCTAAATATCCAACAAAAGTTTGACATGAAATCTCTCCTTGCAACTTGGAGATGTTTTGCCCTTTTCCGGTGTGAAGTATTACTATTGATTATTCGCCCATTAGATTCTGAGTGTAGCAAAGGGGTTTTAGCAGCACATCTCCATTGTACTCTGTCAAATGTGATTGTTTCCAGATGCCTTCATGACAGTCCACTCGCGCACAGTTTTCCTTCACATGATCTTCTTCATTTCACCCTCGGACAAGCAGTTTGTCACCTCCTATTGCTGTCGCTGCGTGATACCATCCGAAAGTCTCCAACACATATGTAAAGTCCATCTCCATCTTCCACAGCCTACTTTTCAGGCAGAATGTTCTCAGCCGTTTCATCTTCACAGGCTCGGTTTTCCCTATTTTTTTCTTGTCTTCAATAGTAAGCGAAATCAGCTGCCTGTATCCGCTTAAAATGCTTCGGATAGGTGTTTCTCAACTCTGTGAAACATACTGAAGCACTAGATTGGAATTAGTTTTGTGAATTCGGTTGTTGTCCGTTGTCTTGAATGCTGTAGAACTCCACACTGACTTCAGGAAAGAAATACCAGTCATGATTTCCTGATCCAATTCTGGTTGGTTGGCTTTCCCCTCCACATCCGTCGTATGTGTAGTTGAAACGATGTTGTCTAGGTAAATGGCTAAGACGACTCTATTATGGTTAAGGTGACTCACTCATAGTTTCTTCACTTGGTATTGGTCGTCGTTTGTTGTTTTTCCTATTGATCGACCACCATTATAACTTTTGTCTTCTGCATGTTAATCTGAAACTTTGTCTTCCCGGCCTCTTCTATCAAATTGTGGAAATTCACTTGTTAATCCTTGAGTTTAAGAGACATGAGAGATATATTCCACGTTTAGTCCAGATTACTTACAGACATACCGTCACTTCTAAATATAAGCTCCTTCCAGTGAATCCAGCTGAAATTCCTTCAGGAATTTTACTTCATCGTGAAGTCAGAAAAATACAATTCACGTGGGGTTTGACAGTAAGTGTGACCACCTCGTGAAATAAATTAGTCTCTAGTGAAGTTGATTATGTTTTGCGGTGCAAAGTGTGGATGCACTGAATCAAATTCAACATAACACAGTTGCATGAAAGTGTTTGCTGTTATCTCTCCAATGAAGGTATTATGATACATCAATACAAACTGAATAATCAAATTAATATTATGAATACGCTGTGCATTATAATATGTTGGACCTTAACCCATGGTTATTTACCTTTCAACCAATCAATGTGATAGCTTGCAGATCATCATAAACTACACTATCGAACGGCGATAACTAGTTCGATAAACTTAGAGATGTCTCCTTTGATACAACATATATTTTGGTCAAGCTGAACAAAATTAACTGCACCGTCATCCCGCATTGTCAAATGAGTAAGCCACATTTTAGAATCTTTTCAAATATGAGTGAACAAGAATAAGGCCCCACATAAATTGAAAGTTAGCGATTCGTTGATCAGTCTTATTGTTTGAGTTACCTTGTGTTCTGAGTGGAACATAGTGCTTCATCAGTAGATCTTCACTTTGTCTTTTATACTTTGCTTCAAGATATCCCATAGTCTTCAAGTTCATCGTCTCGTGATCTCCTCGATGTCATCGTCGAATAAGAATTCACTGATCGTTGATAGATTTGGCTTACAGTTTGTCATTTAGTAAGACATTCCATGCCAAAGTAGTGAAATTCAATGATAGTCTTAATGAATTCGAAAAAGTTCACACTCGAACATCTTACTCGATGTATGTGATTTCATCTAGGTCGCATCCTCATCACATCATCATTCATACTTTGGTGCGTGCTACTACAGTGCCAGCTCTTTTACTTAAGGAAACGTAATGTGATATGGCGTTTAACTGGTGAGCGCTTTATGGAAATAAATGAACAGTGGCTGTGCAAGTGTGGTCTCATTTAAAAGAAAGTTTTACTGGTTTTCTCATTACTATATTGAACAGCTCATAAAATAAAACAGAAAGGACGGTCTTCTTTGTTTTACTCAGCATGCAGTGAAGGCATGCGAATCTTGGAACACCAAACAGTTAAAGGAGAAGTTTCTCGTATACATATCTCCCTTGGGAACTCAGACGCAAGAAAGTATTTCATTCTAGCATGTGTTTCTGGTGAGTGCATGAACAACTTTGATTTCAGTGGACACACTGTTTATCCCATCGCTCCAGTGCGTTGTTTTGAGTCAAAAATCTCCGAACACCTGTTTGTACTCATTTATCTATCCACATGTGCTTTGTTCAATATTATTTCCAATAGAGTCCGACGAAGATGAGAACACCGAATACCAACTGTTAAATTTAATAGATTTAAAAATAAAACTATTAAGGTCTTCATACATCATTATTACTGAGCAAAGTTGTTCACTGGCCAAATTTATCACAGAACATTTACTAGTTAAATGTCTACTGGTTCTTAAGTTGTTTCCATTTTATGTGATAACTTTGTTCAATTCAAAGCATGTACAAATGGTTTCAGATTTCATTTATTTTATAAAGTCTGCAGTTTTCGTGTTGTACAACATTCAACACACACAATGACATTTAAAGAGAAGGACAAATGTCATCAGAATACATATAACATACTATTTTATCGTCATTGTAACTGTTTTCCATTGGTTTGAAATGTCACTGATAAGACAGACAGTGCTTACATATTCAGGTGGCTTTTCCACCTTTCTGAATAAGCTCTTAGATATAACCTGGAGGTCAAACTCAGTAAGAACTTGACTGATCTTCTATAAATATCACTATCATATTACTACAATATTGCTTCAATAATTTATGAGCTACTGGAGAGCTACCTAGATGACAAGATTTTGTGCAATCTGTGAATTTCAGAATCACAGATAAGTAACTGTTGAATGAATTAATATTTTATAAAAGCGGTTATTTATCATATTGTTCATCAAATACTTTTGGAAACGCATCCTAAAACTGTGGCATTCTTATTCAAGACATACTCGTCTCCATGTTCACACGTTCTAAGGAATACTCATTCTCCCGAAATTTGATAGAAAATTATCTATCTATTTATCTACCTATCTATCCATCTATCTATCTATCTATCTATCTATCTATCTATCTATCTATCTATCTATCTATCTATCTATCTATCTATCTATCTATCTATCTATCTATCTATCTATCTATCTATCTATCTATCTATCTATCTATCTATCTATCTATCTATCTATCTATCTATCTATCTATCTATCTATCTATCTATCTATCTATCTATCTATCTATCTATCTATCTATCTATCTATCTATCTATCTATCTATCTATCTATCTATCTATCTATCTATCTATCTATCTATCTATCTATCTATCTATCTATCTATCTATCTATCTATCTATCTATCTATCTATCTATCTATCTATCTATCTATCTATCTATCTATCTATCTATCTATCTATCTATCTATCTATCTATCTATCTATCTATCTATCTATCTATCTATCTATCTATCTATCTATCTATCTATCTATCTATCTATCTATCTATCTATCTATCTATCTATCTACAATTTTATCAGAATAAAGTGATACCATCTTTTTTTTCGTTGCCTTCTCGTTAGCTGCTCATAGGGAAAGTCATTATTGAATATATCTACAAAAACAATTTTTACATACTTGCACAGAGTTCAATTTAAACAAAAATCATTCGATCAAAATACGCATACACCAATAATAATATATATATATATTATATAATGTATATTAACCACTATTCCGAACAACAATAATAATCATACACAATGGAAACCTTTCAGCATTTCGCATTCGGATGAAAGAGAAATGAAAAATATCCAGTTAACAGGACAAAGAAAGACTGATAACCGCTTCTTTCTAGATGGATAAATCAGGTTTCAGGCGCTTGACGGAAATGACGTCAGTAATCTTAAGGAGAATTGAGCTCTTTTGCCTATTGATAATTTTGAACGACTTTTCGACGTCCACCTCATGACTCGTGTCGAGGAGATTCCTAGCGATGGCACTGTTTAAAGCATTTGTTCCCTTAAGACGGAAGCTTTTTAGTTCAGAAAATCGTAGATAGGCCCTTCTTTCCGTCCTTCTAATGTAACTGTTCCCGCAAATACATGTAAATTTGTATATACAGTGGTACTTGAGAATGATACCTATCGATTTTTGGTTGCATCAAAGAGCAAGTTGTTCGATAGCATGTTGCTTTCACAACTCAACTGTCGTAAAATACGCTTCACTCATTAATGATACTCGCCGTAAACATTTCAGAAACATGAATGTAACTTGTTGATCGTGATGACTGTTGACTTTCATAAATACACGGCCCTAATATCGGTACAACAATTTGTGCATAAGTATATAATGAGTTCAACAACTACAGTGGACTGGTGGATTTTATATCAAAGCAGTGAAAGGAATCAACACAACTGATTATTCGTTCTTTGGTAATATACTACATTATTAAGGTACAAAGCGAGAATTGGTTCGATGTTTATTGAAGTATAAGACGAACATGTATCATGATATCAATGAAAATGTTAGCTTTAAAAACAGTAACTAAAAAATATTGTGGGAAATGAATGTGGAATTATTCAAAAAAAAAGTTTTTAGCATCAAATGTCACTTTATCGTTGTAATCGCAGTCACAGAGGTTTCATAGACTCTACATGCTTTGGGTTTATGAGGTTGGAAGCTTGGGATTTCCACTTTAGGAAACATAGGTATATTGAAAAAAATAGTGCCACCATTTCGAAGAAATACACTAACATTTCAGGCAACACAGAAGAGCCTGGAGAGCCTGTTTTGAAATGCAATTTTAGTTCACATCCCGTGATAAACATAATCTGTAATTGAAGAAAGAGATATCTATCAGCAAACACATGCTGATTCAACTTGAAAGTGTATAGAAACTAAATATGTTGACGATTCCAGTGAGGTTATGAAGAAATATGCATAACTGAATATTCCGGAAATATTAGAAGTGTCTTAGCAACTTAAAATTTCTTGATAATTTGAAGCATTCTAAGCTTATATATGTGTATATCTCCGTGTAGAATGAACGAAAAGTTTCAGTACCACATAAAATTCTACCCCATGTTATTTGAGGCTGGATTTGTTAAGTTGAGAATTTTTGTGGAACGGTTGAACTGTCAATGATTCATCCATCACATACCTGAGATGTTACAGATATGAATCTGGGTGTTGATATCTCACTTCAGACATTCTGTAGGAGTCGAAAATCTAGTGATATTATGGTGGCCATTTTTAGTGGAAAATAGAAGCGATAAATTCAAGCTGCCCTAACTGTCCATTTCACTAGATTCAATCTTTGGAATTGTGATTCAGGATAACCATGTGGTCACATTCAATTTTTCCCGCATAACTTAGCATATCAAACCAACTGCGTAAAATGTAATTCGAAGTCGCTTGATAATTAATTCATAAATACTATTTACTTCAACAAATGGGAAATTTTATACCGTGATACTGAACATGAAAGACTTACGAAGAATACAGCAGTGACTAAGCACACTCCACCGATAATTCTGTAAACGTCCTGTAAAAGACAAATATATACATATATGAGATCAAAAGATCTGAAGGAATACTTAAGCGCTTCCTACGACAAAACCCTACAATACAGTGGCTTTGTTAAATGACTAAGCTACCAGAATTTCCATCTATCAAAATGCTTGAATTTATCTGTATTTCATAGAGGATTTCATCATCAGCTGACATCAGTTAGAGAAGCAATGGAAACCCTAGGAGTACTGGACAGCTTTTTCGTCTTGGTTTGGGATTCTTCATGAGTACGCATCCACCCCAGAACGTTGGAACCCAAGACCTTCTGGTAACAAGGCAATCTCATAGACTTTTCAGCCACTGGGACCCGATCCAATGGTCCTTGAATTATAACTTCTGAGAATTCACGACATAGCGCGACCATTTCGCAATCTCTTCTTCGATGAGTTACTGCCTCATTTTCAACCTGCTGTATCCTACTGGTCATGGCTTTCCACTACAACCCCAGGTCACTCCCTGAATAGGGCCAGTCGCTAATGAGCATCAGAATAATTTTCAAGTATTGGTTTTGTAGGGATTTTGTTTGATTGCATGGAGGATTTCATCGTGCGCTGACATCAGTCACAGAACCATTCTTCTTTACTTCTTACTGTTTTAATCATGCAATTATAATGAGTGACCGCTACATGAACTCGCGAGTATATTTATAATTAGCTTTCAATTAGATGCTGTGCAACTCTAATGGGAAATTCAGAAAAGACTTACAGAATTGGTTCGCTTCTCATATGTAACGAAGGCATTTCATATGATATACTTCAGATTGTCGCTGTACATGTAAGTCTTATATGAAGAGGAAGTATTCTTGAACTAAATAAGCTGGCGATTTCTGAAGCAAATGTTCACCTGTTGTCTGAATGAAGCCTTGTAACTATCATTATATGCAAATATTCAGAAGAAAGGGAACTGTTCACTTCCTAAGTGAATGCAAATCTGACTTTTAAAACACATTCCGTTTTATAATTCTGGTATTGTTGTACTTGATTAGGTGGCTGATTTTATTATGACCTTCTGATTATCACTGTACAAAACATATTTTACGCTAACCATATTCCGATTGCGATAATGATAAAAGAAGATGTCAGTTATATCATTCATTTCAGCTGCAAACTTTTTAATCACTCGACTATTATCTGATTCGAAGAAGCATACATTTGTAAAATTTGTAAATGTAAGTAGGTAACATCCAACGCTTGACAATATTTAACACCTCCTCCGAATAAGATTTCGTCCATGCATTATCACTCTTCTTGTACAAACCCTCAAGTATGAAGGCGATTCTGGAGTACTTTCTCTACAAAGGACTCTCATAGAAGGTTCACCCAAAGTTTATTCACAGCCATAGAAATAATTTTCAAACAGTTAAATGTGCAAGATTATTTGAAAATTTAAATGACGATTTGGTAGAGAGAAGTACATCTGGTATTCCGTCGGGGAAATAACTCACATCTCTAATTTTGACAGCCAACAGAACGATTCCCGCTATGGCGAATACACACCCCAGTGTGAAAAACAAAATGAATCCGCCCAACTGCATTGTTTGCAAATTGAATGTTATCAGGAGTACGATGATCGCAACAGCGAATGTAATGAGGAGAGAGTAAAGCGCATAAAACCTCTCACTGACATGGTAGAAATAGCCAATTCCAAATATGAATAGGATAATCTACAAATAATACAAAATGGTTATTAAGAAAAGGTTGTTACATTTGCATTAGTGTTTAATTGAAATATTCACATTCATTCTCATTTTAAATAAGATGTCACTGATTGTGATTGCGTAACCTGAAGTTTCCACAACTAGAGTGTTTCATAACATTCTTCTTGTGTAATCTCTGTCTATAACTTGATATAAATCATGACTAACTAAAGGAGTGAAACAGGAAATGTGTTGTTGGTGATTTCATATTATATCGGACTGACTGACGATACCTAGATAATGACTTCTGCCATGCTTTTGTGCCATTTGAATGTTTGCAATTGACGGTTTTGGATGACGCTGAATTTCACGTCCAAAACTGTGTGTTTCAGTGTTCGTTCTTGATTAAAACTATTCAGCGGCGCGCGCCAATGCTCTCACAAGGGTGTTGATGCAAAACCTTTGCTTTATGTGACATGTGAATCAGAGATCCCTTGAATGGGTTGGGATCCAACAACTCTTGATTTTTAGGCCCCGCAAACTCACTGTATTTTGCGATCGGTGAGTACCCGTCGTCAAATGTGGTTACATGAAACCCCTGATTTCTCATCACAATAATTGGTAACTAATCAGCAGCGGATTAGTTTTCGATTTTCGGACCGATTTCAGGGTAGATTTTGTCACAAAATTAAACAGTTTTGGATGTTTTGTGAGGAAAGGGGCCTGGGATATAAATGTGCCTATGCAGACATGTGTTCTACTAACAACTCGAAAGAATGACAATAATGATAATAATAATCCATGTGACTTTGGAATAGGTGGATATGTTAGTCTCAGGTGATTGAAAGTTCATTGGACTGATCATATGATATCACTGTTTTCAAATGAATATTAAACCAAATTTATTTTTAAACATAAATTAATGACAATAGGAATTTTCGCTCACTACTAATCCAGCAATAATCGCGTTAAATGGAGTAGCAGACTGTAGTCGCCTACTCAACATTAATGCAATGGCAAGGATAACTGCGAGTATTCTGAAATAAAAATTAGCACATCAGTTAACACAATAATAAAAAAATGAAACGTTTTGAGTTTGGAATGGTTCCTGAAATCAAGAAATACTGCGATTCTTTTCCATAACTTTTAGTGACTACGTTCTTATCCTGTTCACGCCGAGAAAAATATTAGGAGAGTTTTTGACACACTAAATGTAGAACTTTGCCATGAATCAAGTTGGATTTCGGGGATGCAAAAATGTGTGGATCAGATAGTGGATCACCAGTCAGACATCAGTCAGTCATCATCATCAGACAGATATTGAGTAACCCGTTGATTGGCAACACGTTCCAGTGCATCTCTCGATGGGAACTCGAAGTGGGAACGACGAGTGGTATATCTGAGGGTGACATTTGTGAGAACATACTTTGAGGAGATGAAAGCGTATGGACGATCCTAAAGTCAGCTGATGAAGACTTTAGAAAGCAGAGTAAAATGGAGATGCGCTGTTGAGCTGTGCGTTTCACTCAGAACCCAGGTTAAATAATACCAATATATTCCCAGCAAATTCGCATCACGTTTGGTCCACACTTCGTGAGGAAATATCCAGTGTACGTGTGATTTAACATTATCAGAATACCGGAACGTGTGAATATTATATATAACTCTCCAGAGGACTTTCTTCCTCCGATGATAAAATAAATATACCAGGCCAAAGAACACTGAAATCTATCACGTCACAGTGATTCATGGTTAGCTGTCGTACTGGACGTAGAAAGAGTTTGAAAATTATATTTGTCGTCAACAGGAAGTTAACCTATTTATTATTCACGAGCAGTGGTAAATATGAAATCTACCATCAGTGAAAGTGAGCAGACTGCTAATTGAAATGCGTCACAAACCTTTGCCAGGTAAGATGATTTGAAAACGACTTACACGAGAGCGATAGCCACATAATTCCATTTGCTTTTGAATATCTCATGCGGCTGTTTCGCTGAACCCTTTTTCTGGAAAGTGAAATGCATTTTTGAGAAATTGAATCTTATACCGTGAGTAAGAAGAGTATGTGTTTCGATAGAAAACACACCGTATCTTTGATGCAGTGTTCCATGTGAAATAGCGCCTGTCTTCCTTCAGTACGTTCCATCTTCACTGTTGTGCTCTTTAAAAATGGTGAAAAAATGATATTGTATTTATCAGGTGTATAGTGACGCAATAAAAGGAATAAATCATAATAGTTCGTGACCTGAGACACGTGCGTGTTTTGTCTCGTTCGCAAATTTCCAGCAAAACAACTTCAATAATAATGATGACGGTGATAATGATTCAATTATAATCACTTTAAAACCTTTCTCACTCATATTTCCTACATCTGGCTCACTTTATGTATTTGTGAAAGTGAATCAGGAATAACCAAGAATCATGTTGGATCAGACATATTAATAACTTGCACGGTCACTCAAATGTTTGAAGCTATCTTTACTTTGAAATGGAAGAGTGTCTTATGTGTAAAAGTAGAGTAAGTCAAACCCACTGAGTAAAACCCACGGAGAATAGGATCATCGGTGCCTAACGCAAGAGAGGATAAAGCTGATATCTAGTACTCTCTAGTTTTCTATGAATCTATAGGCTGTAGTGATTAGTGACTTAACTATTCTGAAGAAGTGATCGCACTAAAAACGATTCTGTATCTTTTAGCATGAGTGGTTCGAAGCAAATAATTCATAAAACATGAAAGGCGTTTCTGGTGAGTTTCCATAGTTGATTGGACTATTCTATTCAGTAACACATCAACTGTGAAATCGAAAAAAGACAGACTGTCACTATGTGAACTACTTTAATCATATGTACATTGTTTACGCGAATTTCTGATATTTTCCTGAACGTTAAACCAATGATAACCAATAAAAGTCAAATTCAGATAGTGGAAGTGACACTGTGTCACTCAGTGGAACAGTTTTATTCATTGAATGAACAAAAATCAACTTTCACACTTGTATGTTCGCAGTTGACATGAAAGTGAACATCAAATTGTGTTCGAGATTATTTCCAGTATATAGTGATACTATCTGCTTACGTAATATATCCAACAAAACAAATATCTGGAATTACGCACTATCGCAGGACTGAAACAGTGTGACTCTATTAACATCCTCGACGACTCATTACATTCTTCTGTAACAGATTCAATGCCGTTTGGTGTGGGTCCGATTTCTTTGAGTTGTCAGTTGTCGGTTAAAGGAACTCTGGATACTCGTTGAGAGGCAGTACGCCAAACATGTGGGAACATATAAAACCACCTCCATGAAGATTTGAATTCACTGTTATAATTTCCAACCAGATAGCTCAGGAATACGGTTACTTCGAATTGAAATATCTATCCAATTTGATACGAATTCAAAGTGATAAATTTACGCAATACATCACGAAAATGAAGAAAAATCAATTTGTGAACTTACTATTTCAATTTAAACTTCCATGCACCTGATCATCTCTATATATATTCTAAGCAGAATATGGTTTATATATTTTCCGGTGAATGAATTGATCTCAGTGATCTTTGAGCTCTCTCACCCCTCAAATACTGAAAACAATTTGAAGCATTAAATCTTATTTACCAGTCGCGCATATCCAATATATAGTTTGGAACTTTGTCCTAATGTTATTCAAATAACTGATACTATTTTGAATGAATTTAGGTTTGTGTTTCTCATATGTTGGTTCAATGTGCAGACTGTTCGATTGTGAAACTTCAGTAGTCAATTAACCCTGAGTGATATTAGACCATCAATATAATAATATTACGTGAACGAAGAATCTATTTTAATATGCAGTCAGATTACCAGATTATATTGAAGATCAAAAGATTAATAGTGCGGATGATGGGTCAAAAATAGTTCATGTTTTGCCTATACACACTGTTGTTTGTGCGTTACAAAAAGATCCAGTATTCAGTCTGTACCACAAATGAGTAATTGGTTTTAGCAAAATGCATAGTCCTGGAAGATGACGATAGAACGAACATCTATAAATGAGAATGATGAATGAAACGACGTTTCAATATGAACAGTCAGACGTTCTCTTCTTCTGGTATTCGCACTTCTGGCTAGTGAGTATAAAATCTATGTCCTACCACTGAAGTTTAATGGTGAATTCATTGCGTCATTAGGTCTAAGGTTTATGGTTTTTAAAGTGATTTCGATAGATGTAAAATATCTCGCTTATCTGGCAAACTTGATTGGAAAGACTAAGTTGTTTCACACCTTCATTTTTTCTTTACTTTCAGTCAACTAAGAGGTGATTAAAGCAACACTCTTTATAATGAAATGAAGAGGTTGATTCAATACAACCCACATCGCTGTGTGAATGACATTCTCACTTGAGTTTATTGCTTATAATCATTCATGTCAAGTATTCACGTGTCTTTCTCAATCGTGTCACATAGCCATACCTCCTCTTGATTTTCAATAAAACTGTCAAAATACGGGAGCGGCATTTGATTGTTTTGACCGAAGTTGTTTCCTATCGACTCAGTGATGAATCATTCAGTGAATAGGCCGTCTTTCAATAGAAATATATTACTTTTCAACGCTCAGTAGATGGCATTTGATAAATTACATTATCCTGCCTAATTATATGAGTCGACTTCTTAAGCCAATAAGGGTTGTCTCTGAACAAGGCGTTGGTTTGGATGCTACATCAATTCAAGCCATATTAAGGACCATCTATAGGGTATCTGATATTTCTTTCTTATCATACGGTAGTGACAGTGAATCTTGAAATTTCTTATTATTTGCAGTAATTTCTTTATTTTCCTAACTAATTCTGTTTTTCTTATGCGTATTTTTACCTTTTGGAATAAAATCAGGAGGGTGAATACTCACCAGTGTGGTTTTCTTTAGTCGTTCAATTTCACCAATCAAACCTCCTGCCTTCCTAGTCCGTCCGCCAGCGCCTTTGGAGATGTGACGATTTCCTGATGCAATGAACCATTGCTGCACCTTGGAAACAGCGGAGAATACTTATCGATGAAGTAGATATTCTCGAGGTGTTAGTCTTCTCTAAGCCAAATAGTTTAATTGAGAGACTATCATTATTTAAGATGACAGCTAACAATACATTTTCCGGTACAATCTTAATAAAGCTGTATTGATCAATCTACGCTAACTATAATTGGTTCATAACTGTTGAACTTGAGATTAATATATTGGAAATATTCGTTCTGTATAAATACTCTTTTTTGAATATATTCGAATATATGGAATCTAATAGAATCTCACGATGTCAGTAACCGAAACGACTCCACTTTTACACTCCATCGTTTCATTAGGACTTAATGTTATTTATTATCATCTCAATGAAATGAATACGTTGGAATCGTTTGACTTCTACAGAGACTTTCTACTCATGTGGCGTTTTTATACTGACGGTGCATTCTTATAGATTTCGGGACTGTATCTAGTGGAAGAAAGTTACACTTCTGGTTGTTTTGTCTTTGAATTTTGAGAAGTGAGACGGTATGAAATCATTTTTGTGGATTAGTAATAACGAAAATGCAGCGAATGTTATGATTAAGTTCTTCTACTCATAACATGAAGGTTGAAGGGTTGGTATCTGGTTGACTAGTGTGCGTGAACTGTTGAGGAGTCCGGAAGTGAAGTAAGAGAGATATCTGCGGCGCCTCTTTTTCAAATGATTCTCTAAGTTACATCAGTTAATAATGAGATGTACATTGGGATGCCCAAACACGTATGCCACAACCCTGTTACATGACTGTACTGAAAGCAAACAACATCAGTGGTGACAACGGCCGTAACTGTCTTGTGTAAACCTAATTTCTATGATGAAGTTTTTCGGTATTCGGTAGTAGTAGCGAATAGGTTAGATGAAAATGAAACGAATTTCGGGTTTGAATAAAAATCCAGCTAGATGGATTATCTAAAACAGCGGTCGGAATTCGTGACCATTGAAGCTTTTTTCCTTCGAGGATATGCACACTCTCACATGCCCACACACGTGGCTGTGGAAACAGCAATGATTTATCTTTCATGGGATGAAGTATACGATAAGTGAGTTCAAATAAACTAAGCATTATGGATCTCCCAAAAATAAATCCAATTCACTTTCAAAAGAATACATGTAAGATTTATTCAGTCTGATTTCATAAAATTTGAATAATATATCACAAGGCTTAAACATGTATTATTCCATTTTTCGTAAAGTTTGTTTAGATTAATTGTCACAATGTTATACAGTGATATTAAATGAATACGTTTCGAGCACAATTTATTGCTCGTAGTCATATAAACATATACATATATGGACATGACTAAGAGCGATGAATGAAATTATACTCTAACATAGTGCAGAAGTTCTTTTGCTTATATTAAACAAGTATCACAGATTTTTACAACAATTTGTCACCTGGTCATTCATCTGTCGCTTTTCTTCATGAGAATTAATATGTTAGTCTCATCTGGAGTGCAACTCTGTCCCGGTTGTGCGCCGTACATGCATGGACAGCGACAACTTTTCTACAGAGATCTTGTGAACACGACGCTAATTCACTTCACATTTTTAACCAGATCATGAGTTACTATTAGATGATTTGAACGACAGGTAAGCAGGAATGATGATGTGAAGATAAGTAAACTAAGTTACAATTCGTTCAGTAAGCGAAAAATATTTTCGTGCATAATTTCTTGACTTTTCTAAACTAATAAGGTTTGAAATCATTTTGAACGAATAGATCCGATGTCATTTTCCGTCATTTCAAGTATTGTGCAATGCATAATTACTAAAATGTCACGATTTTGGAAGTATTCGTATTGTACATTAAACCCAGCGACGTAAAATCTACTGAATATTACGAACTAGACAGTGATGTTTTTATTCATCCAATTGGGATACCTTTTCTGAGACGGGAACAGAATTGGTCAGGAACAGCGACCCACATTGCCGCAGAAAGCACTATTGGTACATGAATAGTTTTATAAACGTCCGAAAGTTTTTTCTGAAAACTCATTTGATCAGTCGTCAGAAAAATTAAACCTTTACACTCAGACCTCTACTTGGTTTCAGTGGATTCTTTATAACTCACTATTTTTCGAAAATGTTTGGTAGTCTAATAAAAATGACTTCATATAA